GCATACATTTTCATTGCTTCTCAACGAATACACTTTGCAAAGTTTCTTTACGTGGCTTAAAAAAGGCAGTCATCACTACTGATTTAAGAGTTTAGTCAACAAAGGTAGGCATATTTTGACCAACATTGCATTGATATTTAGTATTAACATATTTAAAAATACATTTAACTCTCTTTCGAGCCACAAATGAATCTGAATAAAAAGCAATTGTTTCCAAAGGTAGCTTGATTCCTTGTCTTTCATCCTGCCGAGTTTTGAGTTTACAGCTACTGAATACCGTGAGCACGTCGAGGTAACGCGAAGGTATAGGTGAATTTGGTTTCCCCGAAAACGTGTTTGTTTACGGCTAGTTGAATTACATGGGTTAATTCAAGAAATTTTAAATACAATTTCATCCACCATGGCAAGAATGAGAGAAAGAAGTGTTCTGACAGTAGACATTAATTAAGACTATGAGTTCTGACTTAACCTGTGTTTAAAATAGCCAACTCCTTTTTAGCCTCGCTTGACTGCATTTTAAGAGAAAAACTAGGTGTGCAAAAAAATTCGTTTTCTAACATGAAACAAAGCTCTTTAAGGATAATTTGTGATCGAAATATCAAACACAAGCCTTATAAGTGATTCAACAACAAAAAATGGTAACAAAGCATAATTTTGAGGAATTGTACGCATTCTTTTGTGGCCGAGAACTGGGCTCACTGGCCGATAACTGGGCCACCAGCGAAGCCTCCAATTTTGTTATTTTTCAGAAGAAAACAGCGTTGAGCAGTCGATAGCTTTACATGAGTAAACTGAATGCTGAAGCTAGTTGTGTGTGAAATTTCAAGTCTTTACGGCTATTCCAAGGAAAGAAATACAAGTTTATGTTTTTTGTGGCCGAGAACTGGGCCTCAAACTATGTTATATCTTACTATCTGTTAGTTCAATACACTGACTAAAAAACTATGAAAAGGGCTTTGTAAAAACACACAATAGGAATTTTGATAAAAGTCCGTGGTTCATTTATAGCGGAGCTCCACCCGTGCGCAAAGCGCACGCGTGGGCGGAGCCCCATAGGTAAGGAAATGTGGTAATCTACCCATCCGAGAAAATTTGGTAATCACGTGACCGTACGCCAACCGTCCGTCCGCACCACAGGGAAACCAATGTCTACTCTCACACTTTCTAGCTAGTTTGGGAGCCGACAAGAAAACTAAGTGCACATCAATGCTGTGATCAATTGACAGCTGTCAAAACAGGGTATCCGCTGACCAGTATCACCAGACCTTACCGTGGGCTCAAGTGTTCACCCATCGAGGTCGAGTATTTTTTGAAGTTATCCGCTGACAAATTACCAGTATCAAATGATCGTAGGCTCAAGTTTATTTTTTCCAATGATTCATATGAAACATGTGTTTATGTCACTATGACCCCACACTGTTAAGATTTTGATTTCAAACTGACCTCGGACAAGAAAATCCAGCCATTTTTTTTAAATACAGGCGGGGAAGACCTTTTTTTACCATGGTCACGCGTTGGTCACGCTCTTGACAGGTGGGTTCATGCGGAAAATTTATGCAGCATCACTAAAGTATTTTGCTTTGAGAGCAGAAGCTGACAGAGTTTTGTGTCAACTTGTGATGTATTTAACTGTCTTTTCCACTGGATGTACAAAATGAAATACAGCTGCTATCAAGAGTCTTCTGTTATTCATGGCTGGTTTGTTTATTGACTTTATTGGGTTTTTGGTTGAGAAATGCGTTGCTTGTCAAAATTCTGTAATCCGATTTCGGATTGCATCGTTTTCGTTTTCCACCTTTCTTAATGCGTAAGAGGGCTTCAAAGTCTTACGCAACTGTGGCCTTCCATGATATCTTTCAGGAACTGAATCTCGAATGGTAAGCCTGAGTAATTATTGTATTTGATGTTTCTTTTTGTTACATCTAATTTCATGAAGTCGAGCACAGTTTATGCAGCAAGTTTATGCACGTTTGTAGGGCTTGAGTCAATGATCTGACCTAGTATCAGGTTTGATATAAGCTCACAGAACTGTAAAAAGCCTTCAGATATATTTTCTCTCCGCAAATAGAAAGAAAACGTTCCGAAAAATATTAAGCTATAAATTTGGCTGTAGAAAGAAAACTTTGAGCGATTTTCTGGCTTCGAGAAGTGGCATCTTTGAAAAAAGCAAACACCGGGAGGCCAGCTGAAATTAAAATAAAACATAATTAACTTTTAAGCTCAAAGACTCAGGATTTTTAGAGACACTTTAATACTTGTCTTCCTGAATGAAAATTGTTGTCTCTGTAAATGTTTCACCAAATTATCTTTCTCTTATTGATTGTTAGTACTCTCTTGCAATTTTAATCGCTCGTCCGTGGCGTTTGTTTTCATCGTTCATGAACATTGCTTACAGGAGTACAGTATGTGGTCCTTGGTCCGCGTCTTTTCTGAAAATGATAAAATATTTCGTCAAGAAAAAAAATACGTTGAATAATGAAAGATACCGTGATTTACTGATTAGCATTCTTTCATATGACGAAGTTTGTGTCTTCTTGCTGCGGGTGAAGACACGAAATTAAAGTTTGTTGACAGATAGGTTAATTTGTCTTTCTTGAAGTTTGGATTTTTGCGGCACTGTAAATTACGTGGGCATGTTTACTTAGCCTGCGAATAACTAAAACCCAAAGGGAAGACTTGCCTTTTTGAAGAACAGGTTTTCAGATCAACTTATTTCTGCTGTTGGAAGCATATTGCTGTAGACTCTGAATTTTTTGTTTTAGCGACTCTTGAAAAATATCACCAAATTTCGCTTAGCGGTCCTTGGTCCGCAGCCTATGACCTTGGTTGAATAAAACTTCCCAAAGTAAAAAGCGACAGCCTTTGTTTTCGAACAATGTTTTGAAAGTCGTCCCTATACATGTCTACAAGTTCTCTTCTTTAATACCTCGAGTACATACAGAGTTTTTGGTAATTATTTTCGACCGCGCTAAAAGCCGCTCGTCGACGCTCGTGTGGGAGATTCTAGGAGACTGTTGTCTGAAGTCTTTGAAAGAAAAGCAGATTATTTTATGTTCACAACATCTTCCGAAAAAAACTTTAGCTGAATTGCATCAAGAAAAGAAAAAACTACAAGAAATACTGTGAAAATCATGTTTTCGTGTGGAAACTATAACATTTTTATGTTTTGATCATGCTGCTTACCTGAGACGTGGACCAAGGACCATCGAAAACGGTCGCCTTTTTGCGAATTCCAAGCAAAATATTTATGTCTGGAACTTGAAACTTCAGGATTATCGACAGGAACATAAAAGCTATCTTCAGGGAGTATTTCAGCTCGTTAGATGAAGATTCGGGTAAGATATTCAAGTTAATGACTTTTACACGCGGACCAAGGACCACATACTGTACTTTAAAAAAAGGTCACGCATATCAAACACTTTTTCAGATTGCACATTGTTATAACTGAAACCATTAAATAACAAAAAATAATAATAATAAATTCGTTATTACGTTGAAACGTAACTCTATTAAAGTTCATTTAAACACTCGATTACACTGACAGCTTGCACTAGAAACGAGAACTGGCCGGCCTTATGGGTGATTTTGGAAATGTTTTGAACGGTTTCGCCAAAAGCCCACGATTGTCCTGAACATTGACTGAGTGCAATTTGTCGTGAAAAATTATGAAATACCGCATTCTGTCCGAGGTCTGTATGATAAATTGTACGTACTGTTTCACCTCAGATGTGATGTATAAAAAGTATTAAAGGTTGGTTTACACACCCCAGATTTGTTGGCAAGAATTTGTAAAGTAAACCTGTCGAACGCAAAAAAATTCAGCCTGATTTGTTTTCCTAGAATTTGTTTTCGAGGCCTTATCTACAGCTGTGATCAAGAGCCATTATGGCTCTTGAATGTGATCGAAGATGTTATTATTTCTTGGGTGTACATATAAGGCTATCAACTCGACGTAAGATGTTTCACTCTAAAATAACTTAGCCTTTCCCTCAAAAGTCACATGAATGTGCTCTTAAGTTAACTGATTTGTGGATCACAAGTTTATTGTTTGATTTAAATTATAAATTTATTAATGGGAGCTTCGCTTTTAGCCCTGGCTAAATCTATATATTAAATACTCTCAAATGTCATTCATCTGCTCACTCCACATCCCATTCTCCTTGACAAGGTGGCGAGGCGAAAGTCCCATGTCCACAGCTAATTTATGCAAAAGATTCTCAATACAGACAAAAGTCACTATCGTCAAAAAGCAAAGTCTATGAATATGGCTACTCTGAAACCAATTAGAGCTACAAATGATCCTGAGAGACAGCAAATAGTTTTAATGGATAAGGGCCATAAAAGGACTGTTAAGAAGAATAATCAGTTATGTAGATTCATGCTAACAGTGACTGATATGTTTAACCGCTTTGTTTGGCTTCGCACTCTAACAAGCAAATCTAGTAAGGTTGTTGGCAAGAAACTGGAAGGTACTTAATTTGCCAGTGTTTCTACTCATCAGTAGAGGGGGATTTTTCATGGCCTGCAGCCTCTTTTCCACTACAAAAAGTTGACCATAGAACTCTTTCCTCTTTGGTTTGGCAAGTACATGAACCCACTGGTAGTCTTAATATGGAAAGGGGGAAAAAGTAGAAGTCATATATGGTGTTTCAGGTTGTTCCACTTATTCACATCCTTTTTTTAGTAGAGTTGGTGCACAGAACTGGGTTACATAATCCCTTCAAGGGCAAAAATAAACAATTTGGTGGCTCTCAGATTATCCCCATATGATAAAAAATTGAGAAACTTTATTGTCAATCCTGATTGGCAGTTAGAAAAAGAGGGTAAAAAAATAACTGCTGATCATTTGATACCAGTTTTAAAACGGCAGCTAACCAGGCTAAACTGGAAGCATTTTAATTTAACACTGTACCAGGGACCAAAAAGAGGGTCAAAAGGTCTGTCACCCGTCGCTCTGTTGATGTGGCATTAGACATCCTTAACAATCCGGTAGCTTATAAGCTATCAAATTATGCCATTTTTGATACAAGCACCGAACTTTGTAGGAACATTTACATTCCCAGGCTGGTCATTTCTTGATATAATGCCAAGCTTAATTTTCTAATTCCAACTAGTTAGCACCAAATGAAATTTTCGGACGCGAGACCCCCTGCAAAGTACACTTCTTGCTCTTTTCCAAAATGCATATAAAACTGCCTTAATTTGAAGTCAAATTGATATAATATTCTTCTTTTTTATGCTAATAATTTTCTCGGAAAACTATTATTCAAATTTAGGCCGCAATTTGCAAGTTATCTGCATGTGCACTCCACTTTCTCTTGGTTTTCACTCTGAATTTTGTACACGCAACTTGATCGGTGCAGCTAGACAAGAATATTATTCCAGCCATATTGAGAGAAACAGGCCAGTTTGAACGAAATGGGTTGATGTGAAGACGTGGGAATCATGCCACAACATCAAACTATTGACTGGTTAAAATATATTATTTTCCAGGACGAAACATCTGAAAAGCCTACATGTCCCGCTAATTTGAAATGACACGACTCATGGTGCTGGATATGTAACTTTTGAGTGAGATGTGATGTCATTTTGAGGTGGGAGAGTTACATTTAGCAGTTAAGAGGGAATGTCTAAATGACGGAAATGGAATTGCTTCCACTTTAGCGAGTCATTTTGCCTGGTGGCATAAATCATGTTGCGATGCGTTCAATAGGACAAAACTGGAGTGCATAATAAAAAGGAAAATGCCTGAAGAGAGCCACGGCCAAAGCAGCAGCAAACAGACAGCTCAAGTATATTTCCAGAGAGCGTGAAACGTTCGGTTTGCTTCTTTTGCAAGGAATCAGCTAATGAGAGTGATCTAAGAATGGAGTGTACAATGGATATCAACTCCCCCGTCTGATCTGTTGATCACAAATTAAGTGATTTTGGTCTCGTATCTAAGCTGAGTAGCGCTGACATGGTAGCTATTGGAGCAAAATATCACGCGGTGCCTAGCCGCAGTGTACAATCGTGCACAAGAACATGACAAAGAAATTTCATCAGAATTAAACAGCTAATCAGAGGCCCACAGTATTGTCCTGGCTGATCTCATAGCCGAGAGACACAATTCTAGACATGGACAGCCACATACTACCGTTTTCAAACTCTTGGATTTGAGAAGAGAGTACTGCAAGGGGCTAATTAGACAAGGTCTGGCAGAGGAGACTCAATGGCAGTAAGTTCATTTCATGGCACCAGCATTTCACTAATACAGCACCCTACTGAGGAAGGGGAAGGTGTGGAAAACGCAAGCTGCAAAAGCAAAGAAATGTGTCTGCATCAAAGACTATAGGTCCACTGCCATCCAGCTACACTAACATCCCCCTTTGTCAAGTCACTGCAAGGTGGTTTAAGAGTGCCAAGTATGCAGTGTAATGTAGATGGTGATGGTGAAGCACTATCTCTGGCCACAATGAAGGAGACTGAATGGCTCAAACATATGAGGCAGTATGTAGAACACCACTAACAGATAGACAAAGAGGATATGCAACCCACTGTTGCAAGCAAGCTGGAAATGGAAAAGCCCCTTGCAAAAACACAACATCAATGGTATCATGGTCTGCTTTCCACAGAGAATGACAGAAAAATGTCAACACACGATGCCAGAGTTTGTTGCTGCCTCTTTTTGCAGAAGCTGCTCATTCTAAAGCCATGATCAAACATGCCATAACTGTTATGTGCTTAGCACTGAAAAGTATAGGCGCTATATTAATATTTATTATTATTAAAGCTGTTGAACACCTCAACCCAGGACAAGCTGCAGTAATAGAATTCGATCAACCCCTATATGCTTTACCTAAGCAAATGCAAAAGAGATATCCAGACACGATGGGAGAAGATAAGCTGGTAGTTATGCTTGGTGGACTTCACATACAGTTAGCGGTCCTCAAAGCAGTAGGATCATGGCTGTTGGGAAGTGGCTGTTACGCAAGCCAGGATAACCACAACTGGAAGAGCTGAGTCATTAGTAACGTCTGACCATATTACGCGTACAAGATATGTCCATCATGTTACGGCATCCTCGCTTTATATACTTAAACAGAGGGCCTACAAGAATTACTACGAAGAATGTGCAGAGAACGCTCTTTCATTCCCTGAAGGGTGCAAAGATCAAGCCAGTAAGATCCCGCAGTTCCAATTCTGGAATATGACCCTCAAGTTTGAGTTACTTATTCTCATTCTCGTGCACTCCTTTCGACAATCGGACCTCAGACAATATACTGCTGCTTTGATGGCAATTACCCCTTCGATGTTTGCTCTAGACCGCACTAATTATTCGCAGTGGCTACCTGTACATGTTAGGGACATGGTAAAACTACCAAATAAAAACCCACATGTCTACAAGGAGCTCTGAAAAGGTGGCAAATTTACAGGGCAGAAGACGACTAATACTTTTTCATCTATACCACTAGATCAGGCTCATGAACAGAATAATAAGTTAATAAAGGGGGACGGCAGGATTATTGGAATCCCTGAGAATCCTGGTGTGCTTTTAAGATGGATGGCGGCTGGACCAGAGCTGGCAAGAATGGTAAAAGAGTTTGAGACTACAATAGAGGAGGACAACACCAACCAGACTTGCACAACACATCATGAGCAATCCAGGGCTTGTTAAGTGCGCTTCATAAGTCATGTTCAATCTCTGGTTTCTACAAAAGAAGAGCTTCGCAACCCATTTGAAGAGGAAAGCACAGACCTGATCTCACTTGTATCGAAAGATATAGCTGATCCAGCAATGAAAGCTGTTTGAATTCTGTGACATATGGTAAACATGCGTTTTCCTTCTGTGCATCTACATTATGAAATACTCTTCCCGATTCTCTTAAAAATGCACCTTCCCTTTCGTCCTTTAAATCTACCCTGAAAACATTCCTATTTTGGAAATTTTATTTTTAGTAATGAGAAACATTATATAGGTTTTTATTTCATTTAAATTTATTCTATATCAGTGTAGGTATTTTCATTTTTCAGTTTTATAATCGACTGTTAGTATCATCATTATATTTTGTTTTATTATGACATGTAAGCGCACTAAGACTCCTAAATGCGCTCATAAAAACCTTACTATTATTATTATTATTATTATTAAAGCTACTTTGAACAACATTGAGTCAATTGGAAAGGAGCAGTATGAACTCATCAAAGAAATGCTTGGAGAGAGATCTAGGCCAATCGATGACAGCATTTCAAGAAATAATCTTCCTTTGTGGAAACCAGGGTCTAGGACTTCAACGTCAAAAGAGAAAATGAGGCTTAAGTCTGTAAAAAACGGATTGCCAGTTGTTTTCGAAGCTATACATTGGATGTCAAAGTCAAGACGGCGATCTCGATGATTTTTTTTGTCATGAAAATCAATGGTCTCGTCCTTCATTATTGGACTGTGGGAGAATCAGGTCAGGTAGCAAATGTGACTTGATACAGTGCATGGATAAATTGGTGGGCACAAAAGAGTCCCCTAACCCATCGGTTGTGGTATTGGATTATGCACTCTGCGTTCAGATGCTCAAGCCACAATTCTGTAAAAATTCCATGGAATACAGTGAGAGGGTCTTTCTGCCGTACATCAAACAATCAATTGAAAATGTACAGAAGCTGGATTTGGTGTGGGATGAATATATCCCTAACAATTTGAAAGCAAGCACAAGGCAGAAGAGACGCACTGGTGCCAGAAGGAGGGTTCTTCCATCTATGGTACCCCGAAACTGGCAAGAATTCTTTCGTTTAGATGACACCAAAAGGGAGCTGTTCCTGTCTTTGTCGGAGCAGGTCATGAAAATGGCGATCGAGGGCAAGCAAATCATAGTTACAAAAGGCGAAGAAGTACTCTGCTTTCCCCCCGAGACAAGAAGGAATGAATTGTCACCCCGTTCGCATGAAGAAGCAGACACAAGAACAATGGTTCATATTGCTGATGCAGTACAAGATGGTCACCAGTCAGTCATGATCTGATCAACAGACACTGATGTGGTAGTGTTAGCTGTTGCTGCTGTTGCAACTTTAGAAGACCTAAAGGAATTATGGGTCTCCTATGGAACCGGAAAAAATCACCAGATCCTACCGGCAAATCTCTTTGCAAAGGCTCTTGGTCTAACTAAATCAAAGTGTCTCCCCATATTCCATGCCCTAATGGTGCAACACAACATCTTTCTTCGCTGGGTATGGAAAAAGAACAGCCTGGGCAGTTTGAGCGAGCTTTCCACATGTTACTAGTACGTTTCTCAAGCTCCCAGGGGCCCCCTATAATATTTCTGACGACAATCTGTGCACCATAGAACGATTTATCATTCTAATTTACGACAGGACTAGCCACCTCAGCAAAGTGGGTTTTAATCTTCTTGGATTCTTCTTGAGGACTTGTGATTGTGTAATGTTTGCATTTATTTATACTTACCATTTGGTACTTGTTTCAGGTCAATGATGCCCGAAAGTACTTATTCACAAAGAAAGGGAGACGTGAAGCACGCTGTGTATCAAGGAGGATATGTGCAACCGCCCTTAAGCCTCCTCTTTCTGAACCCACAAATTGGGGCTGGACGTTAGGACAAGAAAGCCAACTGCAACCACAATGGGTTACACTACCAGCAGCGGGTGCCAGCTGCAAAGAGCAGAACCATTGTGGTTGTAAGAAGAGTTGTAGCAAAAGATGCAAGTGTGTAAAGGCAGACCCTCCATGTACCCCGCTTTGTATATGCGATGGACAATGCATTCGTGACCAATTTGTATTAGTTTTAATATTCAAAGTAACTAAAAGGGCTAAGTCAAGAAGATATTGTTGTTTTGTGCCAATTCTGTGCTGAAGCTTAGTGCCTTCACCCATATAAAACAATCCTCCAAGGAGCACCAACCATTGTATATTTTTTTGGTGAATTTAGTAGTACGGCATTAAAACTTGAAAATGTTGGCCCACCGTTTCCACGTTTAACTACATATCCTAGCAACCAGGGACAGGAAAATGAGGTCGTTAATATCAAATTTTGACTGTTGTTCCAATTCATTTGCAACAAAGACACATTTTAGGTTCTTAAAAAGAAAGGTAAAAGTGTGGCATAGTCCCTTTTAATTTTTCCCGTTGTCATGGCAACACATCGTCAAGTGGCATGTTTTAGAAGAGGAGAGACCGGAGCGACCATGTGCGAGTGAAGACGTGGATGTTTCACTCCTGTGAACTTTTTGTTTATGCTCTTCATCAGTCTGTTTTTGTAACGGGAGTGGCATGTGTAGGTTAGAACAATTGGACGTCCCAAGCTCTGTGGCAGCGTCTTATAGGTGATAACAGGGACTTTAAGATTCAACAACGCGAGGGCAGAGAGAACGTCCCTTAAAAAAAAGATTTGCTTTCTCTAGTCTTTATCGCAATTATTCCTACCCACTTACTTTGTGAAATGTATGCGAACCCTCCTGGAGCTGAATTCCAAGGGACCATATCCAAGTTCAGAAAGAGCAATACCATTTTTTCCTTGCTTGTTTATGTACTCTATAAAACGTGAAATTAGGCATTTTAACGTCGTAGTCGTCCAAAAACGGGTAAAGAAATGTACAAACGAGCGTGATGCACGTGCAAAGTTGTTGTTTTGGTTATAAAACCTATTGTTTTCGTGACGTTTTCGTCGCTGTCCGCGTTGTTGGATCTTAAAGTCCCTAATTACCTCGCCGCCTTTTTTCTCTCTTTCTTAAAACTTCGTTGTGTAATGTATTCTTTGTTTGTTTGGTTTTCTTTGTTTTATTTGTCCTTTTGTCTTTTCCTTTGTTGTTTTTTGTTTTGTGAGTATTAGTGCGTTTTGTGTGTATTGTCTATCTACGTGTTGTGTGTTTTTGCACCTCACTTGTTACCGCTTTTCAATTTTTTGTATACCACTGCGGTGGAAATTATTTGTATGCGCATAATTTATTTTCTTTTCCTGATCCCATTCATGAAAGAACCTTTTGATTTTAAATTACTTTTGCTTAATGTGCGAGGGATTCGATCCGCCACGAAAAGAAAAGCCCTTTTTACCTGGCTAAATGAACGGAGGTATGATATTACCTTCCTTCAAGAGACCTATAGCACTGCTGACGTTGAAGACTTTTGGAGAACACAATGGAGAGGTAAGCTCTTTTTTGCTCATGGCTCTAATCATAGTTGTGGGGTGATGATTCTAGTGAGAAGTGACTTAGATTTTAATCCAAGAACTATTAGTTGTGATGACGAGGGCCGCTCCATTATAATTGAAGCTGAGGTCCAAGGTTCGCCATTTTTGTTTGTAAATATTTATGCTCCAAACAAGGTTCAAGACCAATGCCGTTTTTTTGATAAATTAAACAAAAATATTGAAGACCACGGCAATTTTTCTCCATTTTAACAGCATAGACAAACCAAAACATGGCCCCTCTTTCTGGAAGTTTAATGCTAGCCTTGTCAATGACGACGACTTTGTTGCACTGATAAATGAAAGTGTGCCCTTGTGGTTAGAGGAGTTCAAAGACGTTATAGATAAAAGGCTGTTGTGGCATTTAATTAAGTACAGGATTAGACAGATTACAATAAAGTACAGCAAAGAAAAAACACGTGAAAGGAGAAGAAAGATCTCTGATATTGAGGCTTCTTTGAAGATTTCAGAAGAGAGATGCGGTAGTTCACCAACTCCTGAGAACCAGGAAGAGTTTGAATTGTTAAAAATGGAATATGATTCTATCTATGAACAGATAGCAAAAGGTGCTATAATCCGATCGAAAGCCACTTGGTATGAAAAAGGAGAAAAAAGCAATGAGTTCTTTTTAAACCTCGAAACACATAAGAAAGCTAAGAGTTCTGCCCGTAAGGTTTTTGACGAAAATGGAGTTCTAATCACAGATCCTAGAAAAATATTGCAAGAAATTCAAAATTTTTATTCTAAACTTTTGGGTGATTTAATCTCGAATAAACATGAACTTATAATCAAAAGAGAGTTGAGAGTCTTGAACCTTTCGCTGTTGGATGCTTTTAGGCTTGTCTCTTTAATAGACGCTCTACCAACTCAATGGCGTGAATCGTTGAAAACTTGCATCTCTACAGGTGACACACCATTCTATTTGCATGATAAGATGAGATTAAGTTACGCTTAAGTGGTCAAATTGTTTTACTCGAAAAAGCGTCTTCGAAAATTGTTTATAAGGAACTTCGAAACAGAATCGTCACTCCACCAACTGCTAAACTAAAGTTTGATGCTCATTTTGTTAATGATACTTTGAATTGGAAAAAAATCTATAGCTTGCCATATCGTGCTACCTTGGATACAAAGACTCACGAATTTCAGTGTAAACTACTAAACAGATGCCTTGTGACAAATACCTTCTTATGCAGAATTGGTATTATAACATCTCCAGCGTGCTCCTTGTGTAGTGAGTCGGACGAATCCCTTGAGCATCTTTTCCTGTCTTGTTATTATACCGAAAATTTCTGGTCTCAGGTTATAAAATGGCTTCTTGATCATAAGGTCAACATTGAAAATCTTTCAGACAAAGATATACTGTTTCGTATTATTGGATGTGAGGAAGAGATATTTGTGAATCATATTTTATTACTGGCAAAACAATATCTATACTCTTGTAGACAGAACAAATATCCTCCCTCCATTACAGTTCTTCATTCCAAAATTAATACTGTCTTCTTAATAGAGACAATGATCGCTAAGTCAAACAATAAGTTGGAGACCCACAATATGAAATGGAACAAATTTAAATGTGATTAGCATACGATCTCTTCTCCGCTTACTTCATTTATTAATCTTTACTTTTTATTATTTTTCATTTATTTTACTTTTTTTTCATGTAAATAGAAAAGAAGATACTGGGGTTTGTTTTTGCTTGTTTCTTTTTTGTAAGTATGTAATTGTGTGTTAGTCTGTGATGTATAAATGTTTAGTTTTCCTTTCCGTTTTTTGTATTTTTCCTACGTGTTCATAAGTCAGTGTGAGAAAAAAATGCAATACATAACAAAATAAAAATTCATTAAAACACCAAAAAAAAATGTTTTAGAACAAGTAAGTAGAAAACGGTAATATCAATGACTTAAATGATAGTATTTCAGGATAAACTAGGACAAGCAAAAATTTTCATGAATTTTCATTATTTGCAGTTTCTATGGAAACCAACACATTTTCGGCTTGGCACTATATCTTTGAATTGGTGACTTCTATCAGTGTGCCAAATTTCATGCTTGTATCAAAAAGTGTACAATTCCCCTCAAATTTGGAGCTAAGGCGCCAGACTATAAGAGACCTTTACTCCCTGAAGAAACAGTTGCAACATGCACTTACATAAAGCAGTGCTACAAACTATTTAAAATATTTAACAATTCAGAGGTTGGTCAGAGCTTTCCTGGGGGTAGTTCAGTATGTTCAAATGCATCATCCAGAATTACACATCATTCCAAAGACCATGTGCAAGGATGACATTGAAAGTTATTTCGCACTGGACTGTGCAAGAGTATCAGAAGGAAAATCAATGACATTACAGTTTCTTGAGTCATCTGCTCCTTTGGAAACTGAGCTACTTCTATCTTCTGAAATGAAAGACACAAGGAACATGTGGCTCTCATGATATGACAGTCCTTCCTAATCTGGTTTCTCCTCCTGTATCTAAACCAAAACAAACTTTTCCTGGCAGTATGACCTATTTCAGTGAATAAGAGGGATGGGAACTGCAAAAAATGAGTTGTTAACTTTTGCTAGTGCAACTGGAGGCCCATGGGACATTGATGAAAACTTCCATGATGCTGCAGATAAACAACAGCTATCTTGACATGTCAAGCAAACTGTCGAATATATTGATTTCTTTTTTCTTTTGCCAACCTATTCTGACTGCCTTACATACAAACTCGACAGCAAAGGCACAATCAAGCGATGTTTGTTTTCAGTGCCATAAACAAGGTCACTGGACAATTGACCGTCTTGAAAGACATGAACCAGAGTACCTGGCCAAGCAAAATTGCTATTCATGTGTCAAAAAGGGCAACTTTATTGTAGCATGTCCAAACAAAATTAAAACTGACGATCAGTTTAAAACAAAATGCAAGCAAATAAAACCCCCAGTACTAAAGTCTGCATGTTATCAGACCGGCACATCATTAGCGAAATTGTTTGGTAATTTATCTCTGAAGAGCCTTGATGATTTTGAATTCTACAAATCAATATCTTCTGAAAATTCAAGTAAGTATGATTCCAAATTCCACAAACAAAGAACAGCTGAGTGGTTCAATGCTCATAAGGGCAAAATCAGTGGAAGAAAGGCAGCAGAAGCTCTTGGGTGGTATGGATAAAAGACCATGAATGATTACTAGGATGATTTATGTAATGCCTTACACGGTATGACTAAAGAAGAAGATGAATCAACTCTGGCAGCGTTATGGAGTTCCATCAATAAAGACAGTGCTCTTGCCACCAACCTAAAAAGTTTTTACGGCAAAAAAAACATAATTTAATTGTAAGAGAAACTGGACTTTGCGTTTTAAATAATGAGAAAAATTAACCATGGCTTGGTTCTTCACCAGATGGAATCATAGAATTCAATGGGAAAAGAAAAACACTTCTGGAGATTAAAGGTCCTTTCATGGGAGGCAAGCCAGTTCCTTACAAAAATGTAAAATGGAACCATATCCCTCAAATCATGTTGGAATGTTGTGCACATCCACGCAGGAATACCACAATGGTGTTTGGACTCCAGTTGGCACCAAAGTTTTTCTTGTTGAGAGAGATGACAAATACATGCCATTCCTTTTAAATTACCTCTACAAATTTTGGAATCTTTGCTGTGATGAGATGATGATGTCTTTGGTCTGAAACCAAAAAGTAAAGAAAATTACCACGAAAACTCCTCGTGCTAGTTTTATTCCTAATTCTCTTATTGCCCCGAATGTTTTATCTCCTAACTTGAAAAATTTTCAGACTGTAAACAAACAAGTAAAGGAAAAATATTTTCCTCAAAGTGTCAGAATTGTAAAGATGAAGAATGGCAATGTAAATGCAACCCGTGCCAGGGATGCAGAAAAAGGATAAAGAAGTCGCAAGGTGCACAACAACTGTCCTACCAATCATATAAGTATGGCTCTAATAGAATACAGAACAGCTGTAATCAATGACCTAGCACGGTTTCAAACACACTTTACTTCTCCCAACACAAAAATGTCGCAAGGTCTTACTGTACTACTTAATTCATTTGTATTAAGAGACAAAGGTAAACTCCAGGACAGTAAGATGTCATCATGGAAGTGGTAAGGGGACAAAACATAAAACATAAAATGGTTAGACATATTACACCTGCATAGTTACTAAAACATGGAACGACCTAAAACCATCTACAGCCACCTAAATAAAACCACCTACAACCACCTCAAAAAATTCAACAACCACCTATAACCATCTACAACCACCTCAAAAACAATCTAAAACCATCTAAAACAAGGTATAAATGTCTCAAATAAGGCGAGACAACATGTCACGTACATGAAATATGAGAATCGAACAAAAAATCCACTTCCCCCCAAAATCTTATTCTCCCTGGTCCCTTGTATCATCAACCATTGGCTTAAGTCTCGAATGAAATGCGGGATCATGCTAAGTATATTAAAGTTTATTAAAAGAACTTTACAAAATGAACTATCAAGTCACAAAAAAATAATAAAATAAAATAACAAACTCGTAGTCGAAAGCCTGACTTGATTTGGCTTTTTCTACCCTGGGTACCAGTGAGACGTTTTGGTTCACGTTTCATTTGTTTACATAATAGCACAAGATAGGGTTCCTCTCTCTCTCGGAGTCTGCTTCACTGCTGTTTTGTTCTGAGGTGGCGGATTACATTCCTAAGGACAAGTTAATTTTTTTAGCATCTGTTTATCATCCACCAAACATGTTTGTACATTCCCGTTGACTCCTTTAGATTAACCCTATTGTCTTTCACACCTGTTTCCGGTGTCATCACCCAAAGCTAAACTCCCTTGCGTCACGACACAGGAAACGGAGACTAGTAGGTGTAATTATTGTTGAAAATGTTATTAAAATAAAATCTATAATGCAATGGATTCAGAAGAAAACAAGGTAATCACTGGTAATGTGACATTTTAAAGATGATTTTAAAACAATTAAAAATCACAAACCATCAGTTGTTGTTTAAATTATAATCAAATTGTCGATGAGTTTCACAAGAGAGAGGAAACAAAATCAAACTTATATCCCAGCTCTCCCAACATAAGAGGACAGTGCGGTGGAAGTTTTGTGTTAAGCTTAATGGATGATGATACAAGGGACCAGGGAGAATAAGATTTTGGGGGGAAGTGGATGTTTTGTTCGATTCTCGTATTTCATGTACGTGACATGTTGTCTCGCCTTATTTGAGACATTTATACCTTGTTTTAGATGGTTTTAGATTGTTTGCGAGCGGTTGTAGATGTTTTTGAGGTGGTTGTAGATGGTTGTAGGTGGTTGTTGAATTTTTTGAGGTGGTTTTAGGTGGTTTTAGGTCGTTCCATGTTTTAGTAACTACGATTACACCTGTGGTAAAGATCTTGTGAAATTTTCTTTCAAAACAAATTACTCACTATCATACAGTAGTGACCAAAACCATGACTCTTTTCACACCTTTAGGCATAATGTGTTTCCAGTCAGTGCGGATGATGTATATTCCCGCAAGTCAACCAGTTCATTTGTCTCACAATTGTGTAATTCTTTTAATAGCAAAGAAAAAAAATAAAAACTCAAAATAGATTTGAGACTAGTGGACAGACCACAATCTTTAAAGTGTTTTCTTCCATTTATTTTTTAAATGAAAGAAAAGCCGGCACATTTTGATCATAATCCAGTGTCCGCTATTCCATGAAAGTTCCATTCCAGATTGTATATCCCATGATGCAATTCAAACTTATTATCCATGAGCGGCCATCTTGGAAAATGGTGTGCAGACAAAATGGTAAGAGAATGGTGGTTTTATACAGATTTTCCTCTTAATTTCGATTCTTGGTTGTGCAAGATAAACTCAAGTGACGTCTGTAAGTTTCTGTATAATATATTTTATTTTTTAAAAGCTAAAATTCCCACAGAACATTACTAGAATAACTGTAAGTAGTCTGTCAGATTTCGTTTTCACCACAACATCGATACTGAAGTTTTTGGCGTGGAAGCTGTCAAATCAAACGCAGAAGTTATGTTTTCAATAATGTTTTGCTTGTGTTAAGGAAATAAGGTTTTTTGCTTCTTTTAATTCTCTAGTGACATTTGAAGAGTTTCAGAAAACAGGCTAGTGTAATCAAGGATATGGCAGAAATTACGCCAGTAAGTTGTACTAGAAAGCGCTCAATGTCCAGCTCGATACAGAAACCTAACTGGAATAGATGCCTTTGTCATGTAAAACAAAATGTTCAAGGTCAATTAACAGCATTTACTAGCAAAAGCTGGGAGAAGTTTGAAAGCTGCTCGACTCGGAGAAGGGATGAAATCTGGTTGATTATGAA